AAAAAAAAAAAAAAAAAAGAGATGAGGCAGCATAGTCCAGGCTGGTAGCGGCAGTGATGGGAAGAAGTGGGGAGGTTTGGGTTGTATTTCCGTCTTGCTGGGTGTGTTTTCACTATGGTTTAGTAAGCATCTTCTGTTACTGCCTGCAGCCCAGGTGGCATTCAGCCCCATCTTTCTAGAGCCCTGTTCCTGCTGCTGCTGTTGGCGGCCTCAGCCTGGGGGGTCACCCTGAGCCCCAAAGACTGCCAGGTGTTCCACTCAGACAATGGCACCTCCATCTCCTGCCAACCACCTGCCGAAATCCCCCGCCACCTGCCAGCCGACACCGTGTACTTGGCGGTGGAGTTCTTCAACCTGACACACCTGCCAGCCGGCATCCTCCAGGGCGCCTCCAAGCTCCGAGAGCTGCACCTCTCCACTAACGGGCTGGAGGGCCTCCCACGCGAGCTTTTGCAGCCAGTACCGCAGCTCAGGGTGCTGGATCTCACCCGAAACGCCCTGAACAGCCTGCTCCCGGGCCTCTTCCAGGCCTCAGCCTCCCTGGACACCCTGGTGTTGAAGGAAAACCAGCTGGAGGTCCTGGAGGCCTCGTGGCTGCACGGCCTGAAGGCCCTGGGGCATCTGGATCTGTCTGGGAACCGCCTCCGGAAACTGCCCCCTGGGCTGCTGGCCAACTTCACTCTCCTGCGCACCCTTGACCTTGGGGAGAACCAGCTGGAGACCTTGCCACCTGACCTTCTGAGGGGTCCTCTGCAATTAGAACGGCTCCATCTAGAAGGCAACAGATTGCAAGTCCTGGAGAAGGACCTTCTCGTGCCCCAGCCAGACCTGCGCTATCTTTTTCTGAACTGCAACAAGCTGGCCAGGGTGGCAGCCGGTGCCTTCCAGGGCCTGCGGCAGCTGGACATGCTGGACCTCTCCAATAACTCGCTGGCCAGCGTGCCCGAGGGGCTCTGGGCATCACTAGGACAGTCAAATCGGGATCTGCGGGAAGGATTCGACATCTCCAACAACCCGTGGATCTGTGACCGGAACCTGAGCGACCTCTTGCGTTGGCTGAAGGCCCAAAAAGACAAGATGTTTTCCCAGGGTGACACGCGCTGTGCTGGGCCTGAAGCCGTGAAGGGCCAACCGCTCCTGGCAGTGGCCGAGTTGGCCCAGTGAGACCTAGGGCTGGGATTGAGGGTGGGGGGTCTGGGAGAACGCTGCAGCCCACTTAGCAAATAATCCTGCCTTTGAAAGGTGAGATGTGGGGGCTGTCCCTTGTGGCTGGGGCCCCATTTCACCCACCCGTGCTTCCGAGAACATGCAGTGGGCTTCCCGGCCCCCTGACCTGTGCCCAGGGTGTGCCCTCTCTCTGGAACGCCGTTTCCCATTTCTCAGATCTCTTGGCCTCCAGGTTCTCCCAGCCCCCTTGTCCTTCCCTGTGGCTGAGCCCCGGCCACACTGGGGCTCTCGGAGTGCAGGGTCCGGTGCTGAGTCGCACTTAGCTTGGGCTCAGACCAAAAGGGTTTAGTAAATAACTCTTGAACACTGGACCAGATGAATCGGCTTTCGTTGCGTTCCTAGAATCTTCCCAAATCAACTTCCTAGGACTCCAGGGTGAAAGAGGAAAGGAGGTATGGCCCAGGGCCTGGGGTGTGACATGGTTTCCCTAGTCGGTGGCAATTGGGATCAATGGCCTGTGGCTTCTCCTCTCCCTGCCCCCATCCTGGGACCTCACTGCAAATAAAACCTTGACCATTGCCCGGGTGTCATTTTACCAGTGAATCCCTGCCAGGGCTGGTGTCCCAGGAGAAAGTTTAAGTTAAACCAGATTGCCCAGGTCTCCAAACAATTTGTCATGCTGGCCTGAGATCATCTAAGGTGGCACCTGCCCTGGGCAAGGTTGCAGGGGTGGGATGGGGCTGAAGGGATGGGCAGCGTCCCGGGACCACCTGCATTGGCCATGTGGGGGCTGCAGTCAGATCTGGGGGACCCTGGGACATGGGGGCATGACCCATTTTCCCAGCTCCCTGAAAAATGACATGCACAGTGGCTCATGCCTGTAATGACAACCAGGCGTGGTGGCTCACACCTGTAATCCTAGCACTTTGGGAGGCCAAGGCTGGTGGATCACTCGAGGTCAGGAGTTCAAGACCAGCCTGGCCAACATGGTGAAACCCAATCTCTACTAAAAATACAAAAATTAGCCTGGTGTGTGGTGGCACGTGCCTGTAGTCCCAGCTACTTGGGAGACTGAGGCAGGAGAATCGCTTGAACCTGGGAAGCAGAGGTTGCAGTGAGCCAAGATTGCACCACTGCACTCCAGCCTGAGCAACAAAGTGAGACTCCATCTCAAAAAA